GGCGTTTCCGTGTGGTGCTCTGGTTCAGCAGAAGCGGCTTAGTCATGCTGGCCACATGACCCAGAAGCTGTACATTGGCTCCCTTGGCCAATAAAGCGAGATGAGCGCCACGACTGGACCTAATGGTCAGGGGTCCCTTTACCTTTACTATGCATGGGATGATGACTTTAACTTATCGACGGATGTTGTCAACTCATGTTAATACTAGAAGAAATAGACTAAAAGAATTACACCTGCAGGAATTTAAAAAAGAGAAACATTTAGAAATGGATTTGCTAGAATGTTGACGGGATATTGAAGGAGGTATAATGAAAAAGCATAGTTATTATTATTATTACACCCCGCCCCCTGCAACATACACACATCTGTTCTCTTACTGTCACACTATCCAGCTTCATGCTGCCAAATACGGTACTTTTCTAAATGTACCTACTGCAGTTTGAGTACTGGCAGGATGCTATATTCTGCAAGGCTGTCCACCCTCTCTCACAGATGTAGCCTGCTGAACTCTGTTGATCTGCAGAATCAGGCCAGTGAATGGGAGGAGATTACCGTAAATCACAGCTCCTTCAAAAGCAACAGGTTTCCATCCTGGCGCTGCTTACCAGCTGCTTGACATGCTTATGATTTGCGGCAGTGAATATACCACCACTTCAGTCTTCCTCGATATACCCTTATTCTGGACTAGTAACTTGCATTTCTAAGGCCTGTCCCTGTTCCTTTTCATTTAAGACTTCCAAAGTAATGGTTTGGGCTCTGTTCCAGTGTGGTTTAGGGGAAGAAAGGTTAAATACAATTCTCCATTTAGTTTGAATACAATTCTTTTTTTTGTTCATGTGAATACAGCCTGTGGGCCACCCTGCAGCCTCTGGACTTCTGTGATGCTCCCGTTTTTCTGCAGAGAGCTCTTCGGAGAATAGGGAAGCTCATGCATGTAAGCAGCAATCTATATAGTAAGTGGTCTCTAACTGAACGAAATGCGCCAAACAATATCGCCATTCAATAACCCTTTAAGCAAGCCAACCATGGCACAGTGAAGAGGCTTTGTTTAACAGTGGCTCACATGATGACCATTTTTACAGAAGCATCCCACTTTTTTGGTTTGGCTGAAATGAATTAATTTATGACCACCAAAGCTGGAGCATGCCTTTCTGACATTTAATTCCCACATTTATTTGGGTCAGCTGTTAAAAGCAGTAGCAGCAGCAGAGGTGTGTGACATTTGCTTTCAAAGACATAAGGTGACAACTAATCCCCTTTTTATTGAACATTCTTTTGTGTTGACTTGTGTTGGCAGAAATGCATTTGCTGGCAGATTGATTTTAGAGATTATAAACTGCTTTTGGAAATCTCAAAGTGGCACACAAATCATATGACCAGATGAAAGCCAAACATCAACAAAAAACACAAATAAATACAGAAACAAGCATCAGACCCTAAATCAGGGATTGGGAACCAGTGGCCCTCCAGATGTCATTGTACTACAGTTCCCACAATCCATTGCTCATACTGGCTGGGGCTGATGGGAGTTGGAGTCAAATATCTGGAGGGCCACAAAATCCCCACCTTGTCCTTAATTTAAACAACTGGTTGCTGACACAAGTTTCAGCTGTGAGAGGTGATCCTTCCTCTTGACGCTGTAAAGGCAGGACTTTGAGGCAGAAGTGCAGTGCCCCATTCAGCAGAATTCACAGGAGGGGCTTCCAAAGGCAAGAGGGTTAACTTGTATCACAGTTTGAAATAAGAAGAGTAAACACATCACAGTCTAAATAGTCCTCTTCCATTAGACTCTATAATTACTAACTACAGAACTAGTCCTTCAGTACCAGGCTCTGAAGGTCTTTAGAGGCCAAAACTAGCACTTTTAATGGAGTCCAGAATTGGTAGCCAGTATAAGGGGAAGAAATGAAGGCAGTGAGAGATTTTACTTTCTTGGGTTGCACGATCACTGCAGATGGTGACAGCAGTCACGAAATTAAAAGATGCCTGCTTCTTGGGAGAAAAGCGATGACATACCTGGACAGCATCTTTAAAAGCAGAGACATCACCTTGCCGACAAAGGTCCGTATAGTTAAAGCTATGGTTTTCCCAGTAGTGATGTATGGAAGTGAGAGCTGGACCATAAAGAAGGCTGATCGCTGAAGAATTGATGCTTTTGAATTATGGTGCTGGAGGAGACTCTTGAGAGTCCCATGGGCTGCAAGAAGATCAAACCTCTCCATTCTGAAGGAAATCAGCCCTGAGTGCTCACTGGACAGATCCGGAAGCTGAGGCTGCAATATTTTGGCCACCTCATGAGAAGAGAAGACTCCCTGGAAAAGACCCTGATGTTGGGAAAGATGGAGGGCACAAGGAGAAGGGGATGACAGAGGACGAGATGGTTGGATGGTGTTTTCGAAGCTACTAACATTAGTTTCTTCAGTGCTGGTGGATGTGTCCCCTTGGCAACCAGTCAGAAGTTCTGGAGCTACTATGGCTGCAAGATCAAAGAGTGAAGGAGAGCCCTCCACCTCTCAATGCCATTTGCTTCACCCTCAAATAGCCTGTGCTGTTAAGATGTTTCACTGAACACCTGCAGTTTTCCACTCACTGGGCCTATTCCTGCCCTCAAAGAACAAAACTGCTCCATTTGCAGGGTGACAACCCTTCAGAGAGACTACCCTTTAATCTGATTTTCTTCAGGCTGAACATGCTCAACTTGTCCAACCAATCTTCAAAAGACTTAAGTTTCCAGGTAATCCTGCTTCCCTTTCTTCTTGACACAATGCAGTTTGTTAGCACTGTTCTTCAGATGTGGTGTCCAGAACTCAGCATGGTACTCTCTTTCAAATGAAATAAGGGATTTCCCCCCTAGCTAATGAAATAAAACCTTTTAAACACACACACACACACACACACACACACACACACACAAAATTCATTTAAAAAATACAAAACAACCACATCCTACAACAGCCACAGGAAGCTTTGGCTGCACACTAAGAAGAGGAAAATTACTGCCAACAATTGCTGTGATTCAGGATCTCCTAACTCCTGAAAGGGTTGCTAACCAGATAATGTGCGGTCAAAGGGTATGCATGCGTGCGCTATATGCTGAAGAAGCATAATTTGAACCAGGCCTCAACAGAGCCTGCTTCCCAAGGTAGGATGTGACACATGCAATCCAAATAGAAAAGCACTGCATTTTTGAAGAGGGCCAGCCCAATACATTTTGGTGCCAGAGGCTAAGGACAGGATGGCACCCCCACCTCCGCATACGGAATCTAACTGCATTGTGGCAGCTGAATTTAAAGACAGACAAATCTAACAGTTTTCGTTTTTCTCATTTTTCCAGTCTTAAATTTTCTGCATTTCCACAACCGTTTTATTTTTATTTTTTTTAAAAAAAGGTCCTCCTGAAAATTCATTCCCTAACAGGCAATTTTTTTTGCAAAGTAACTTTCCTTACTATAAAGCATTTTTGTATGTTAGATTCACTTATATATGCAAACTTATACAGCCTTTATCCTGGTATATGTAATTTTTTGTACATGTTTTTGAGAACTGCACAGCAAAATCTGAAGAGTGAGTTTTGAAGCATGGCTATGTTTCGGTTTGCATTTTATTTCAGAAAGTGGACATTAGGGAGCTTTGCCTTTAATACAAGCTGAATCAAATCTCGCCCCCTTCTCACTGAATGTTATTTCAAGATGGGCAGTGGAACAACATCTTCCATGGTATCTGAAGGCAGTGGGATGACTTAGGATGTGCAGAGCAGGCTAGCTTAAGGGAATTAGGGAACTTTTGTCATGCCTGGCATCTGTCTCTTGAGGAAGCCGTCTTAATCTGCTTTATGGTAGGGATGGCCCTGTATTTGAGAATGTGTATGCTTTCTCCTAGGACTAGGTGATCCAGGTCAGGCCCCATTGCTTGACGTCAGAGGTATACCTGGGCTGGGCATGGACCCAAATGGGGCATGACCCCCCCAATCTTTCTGAGTGCCCACTTGAATATATCTGGGTGGGTTATGAATTTGGGAGAAACTGAATTTGTGTGCGTGCGATCTTGGTTACTGGGTAGGATATAAATTTCGGGTAATCAATTTACTTAACTTTGCAGGGGTAATGAATTGGGGGGAGATAGTGTACCGGTAATTGATTTGCAAAAGAGAGAAATTAATGGGGGTAAAATGAATGGAAGAGAAGCTGATTTGGGGTGATCCAGGGTGGGGTTCAAACTAAATAATGTATTTACAGTGATTGGCTTTGCCTTCCGTGCCATGCCAAGTCCGCATCCTATAAATGCGCATTTGCAGATTTGTGTTGATGCTCCCCTGCCCGGAAACTTTCAGGTATCCAATAACGCCCCCCCCCCCGCTGGAAGCCAGCCTTTACATTCATTCGGGGCACTGGTGGTGCCGAGACCCGAACACAAGACCTTGTTCCCTCAGCAGCGTCTTTCGGCTCGGGCCCTCCTAACCCCTAAACCAGAAGGGGCGCGGGTTATCCCAGCCCCTCAGCTTGTCACTTCCAAAACTAAGCTCGGGGGGCGGGGGAGGAAAGCGAAAGCAGAGCAGAAGACCTCCCACAGCGGAGCCACGCAGAGGAGGATCCCGGCCGCGGAGGAGCCTCCTGCCCGTTTCCTTCCAGGGCAGCCGGCAGAAAAGAGGAAGGCGGTGCTGTCTCTGGCCGCGGCCGGCTCTGCCGCTCCTTGCCGTGCAGGGGGCTTTTCCCTCCGCCCGCGGCTGGGATCCCCTCCCTCTCCCGCTCGGCTGCGGCCGGGCCGGGCTTCCCCCGACGGGAGGAGCGAGCAGGAGAGGCGCTGCTGCTGCTTAAAGAAACAGACGCCTGCCTGCCTGCCCTGTTTGTCTGGCAGCAGCAGCAGCAGCAGCGAGAGCGAGCGAGCCCGGCGTTCCCACCCACTTGAACCGGAACCGTTTTTCCCCTTTTCTTCCCCCCGCTTCTTTTTTTTCCTTTTTGCAAAAGGCAGCCTCGGGGTTCGCTGCTGCTGCTCGCTGCTGGGGGAGAAAAGGCTGCGGTGTTGCTGCTGCCGCCAGCCCGCCCCTCCTGCCGCTGCTGCTGGGAAGAGGAAGAAGAGGCGGCGGGGCGGCGGAGGGCAATGGGGCTGCGGCTCTGCAGCAGCAGCAGCAGCAGAGGCATAGCCCGGCTTTGCAGCAGCGCCTGCCTGGGCACGAGGACTGAGCCGCGCGGCGGGGCAAGGCGGCTTGCATGAGCCTCGGGGCACCCCAGCAGCCGCCGGGGAGCGCGGCCGGCGGGAGCCTCGCTTGCTGCCGCCGCCACCGTCGTCTTGCCCCGCAGCGGCGCTTGCCGTTTCTCAGCACGCTGATGGCTTCTCGACGTCGCTGGTGACTGCTGCCTCCCTCCTCCTCCTCCTCCACCATCACCCTTCCTTCCCTTCTTTTTCCTTCCTTCCTTCCTCCTCTTTCCACGGGCGGCGGAGATGGGGAACACGACCTCATGCTGCGTGTCGTCCAGCCCCAAGCTGCGGAGGAATGCCCATTCCCGGCTGGAGTCCTACCGCCCCGACACCGAGCTGAGCCGGGAGGACACGGGATGCAACCTGCAGCACATCAGCGACAGGGAGAACATCGACGGTAAGGAGAGACCCCCGCTCTCCCCCTCCCTCGCCCACAACCGCGCGAGACCCGGGGTTTTGAGGCGTGCATGTGGGAAAAGAGAGAGAGAGAGATTACCCCCCTTCATGCACGTGGGAAAGCCTTCCTGCACGCGTCAAGCAACAAGCAACATTCCAAAGACGGCTTAATAAAAACTTGAGCCTTGGAGCGGTCTTTCTTTCTTTGCAATTCGATTCTTTGCAAGCTAGAGATCGGCATCCCGGAAGAAGGAATGCGGAAGAGCGCCCCATAGCATGTTTTGGGTGTGTGTCTGTGTTAAGCGAGGGGTAGCCTCTGAGCATGTGCTGATTGCTCTTCGGGCAAGCTCTGCCGTTAAGCGTGATGAGGAGAAAGCCACCTGAGGTGTCAGATTTTGGGGGTTCTATTAAGGGTTGCAGATGGTCAGTTGCATAAGAGGATTGCATTTTGATATTTTTTCTCCACCTTCCCCCCACCTCAGGTAGCAAAATATGCCTCCCTTGCCTAATGACAGAGCCTTGGGGAAAGGGCTTGATTTGGGACACTGCTGGGTGTCTCAAGGATCCTTTAGCAGAGGCCACCAAAGAGTTAGAGGTTTGAGGCCTTCCCGTTGTTTTAGTTCTGTTTATTTATTGCATGTATTTATATTCAGGATGCAAAGCCTTGCAAGGCAGCTTGTGATGGTTTGTGGGGGTTTTTAAAAATCACAGTAAACTGCACCAACATATAAAAAGTAACCAGGATCCTTCCTGTCACAGAGCAGTTGGTAGTAGATAGAATGGCCCAGCCATGGTGGAATAGGCCATCTGGGGCAATATGTCTCTTCTAGCTCCTGAAATCCTGATGACAGGTGTGGACCATTTTTCAAACTTCCAACCTAAGAAATATGCCTTGGTTAAAAAAATATATTTCCTCATGGGCTACTAGTGAGTCTCCACATGCTGCTCATGCTTTTTGTGTGTGGGTCAGCGCTGGAGCCATGTTCTCTTGTTGAGAGCTGTGCGCGGGGAGGACATAGCTGTGCGCGGGGAGGACATGCCTGTGCTCAAAGACTTTCTTGAAGCAATTGTCATGGAGCAGGTCCCACAATTTGCCTGGGGTCCAGGTCACTTCCCTTGGTCTCTTCAGCAGAGTTGCGAAGGGAAAATGTCTCTCACCTCGCCCTTCTCATTTTCTTGGGGAAGCTAGGCTGACCTAGCCAGAACTGTACCGCAGAACTGGATGGTGCAGTTTTGTGGTACATTGTGCTAGGCCAACCTTACTTCATAAACAAAACCTACAACTTCTAGGGTGGCACAAGGTAAGCACATTCTTTCCCCATGCACCATAGATGCAGCTTTACTGCAGCTATGACCATGTTTGACCATTGACCGTACTGGCAGGGGCTGATGGTACTGGCACGGGGCTGATGCATAGTGGTCAACTTCCCCCTTTTCTATGCGGAATAAGGAAATTTCCCTTAAAAAAAGGGAAAAGTTGACAGCAATGGGCTGATGGGAATCGGAGTCTAAACATCTGGAGGCTCACAGTTTTTGCCCTGCCACCATACCAAGGGGGAAGAGAACTAACCAGTCTGTGAGCAAGAGGTCTTGGGACAATGCGGTCATTTCTGCCCATTTCCCAATCTTCTCAAGTGTTTTGTGTAAGAAGGGAAGGGAATATCCAACAGTTGTTTCCCAACTCCAGTTCACAGAGGAATGTGTGTGACCTTGAGTTACTAAGAGAAATAGCCAGTATTTGAAGGGAGGAGAAGGGGCAGCTCTAGGTCTTTTTCCCCCTGACCGCCTTTTTGTGAAGAGAAACTGAAGATGACCTTGAAAATACTGTTGTGGTCCCATGGACACTGTGAGATGGTTCTCAGGGTGTGTTTCTAGGGTAGCCTAATTTATCCCTTAACCTGGTGCACTTTGCTGGTTTTTGGACTACAACTCCCATGATGAAGGGCACTAGGCTGAGGAAGACTGTTTTAGTGGGTTAGGAAAGGGACTGGAGTGTGCCTCTCCTTCCTCCATCTCATTACTGACTGAAATTTTATTTTTTCCTCTCGTGTAGCTCATGCCTCCGGCGCTTTCATTTGAAAGTGGCAGCTTCAAAATACTGTGGGGTTTTCTTGTTTTTGTTGTTTTACCTCATGCTGTTCATCCATCCACATGTGAGCATCACTGTCATTCTGTTGTGGGAAATGCTAGCATATGTTGCTCTTGCTTTTGATGGAAGAAGCTTTTGGATGTTATCATGCCACTCTGGGGGATGACTTTTTGGAGGCCGTCATGTGTTGGAGCCCATCAGTATTTTTCCTCATACTCTAGAAGGGAAAGCCTCTCAACCACACCCTCTAAAAAATCCCATAGTTACTTTTTGTTTAAGGTGCAGTGTGTTCCTAGGCGACAAATTTCACTCATTTTTGTGTTGCCTTTTATGGGGTTCTCGCCCCCCCCCAAGTCTGTATATCTGTGGGAAAGCCTGTAATATTTAAGAATGCCATCCTTTTGGGCTTCACAACATGTTGTGGACATATACGGGTTCTTGCAGTATACAGGCCTCCCAAGTTCAATCAAATTGGTAGGGTTGTGACCAACTAACTACTCAAGAGTAGACCCATTGAAAGTAATGGACCTAAATTAGTCATGTTTGTTAACTTTCGTTCTGGCTTCTACTCATTAACTGGGTCTATTCTAAGTATGACTAGCGCTGGATACAAACCATAGCCTTGAGAATCTGTCTATATTCAGTTTCAGAAACAAGCTGCGGTCCATCAGATCTGAATTAGTATCATGCGATAATTGTTCTGGTTTGTGCTAAATTTCACTGAGAAATGTAGACAGTCAAAGATACTGGGCAGGTTTCTTCTGTGGCAGTCTTTACTGATGCCTTCCCTTGCGTGGGTTGACAAGACATTGGTATTATGGATTAATAACACTTGTGCTAGAGTCAGAGAGCTATTTGAAAAGTGTCTGGGAAATCCTGACTTGCCTGTCAAGTGGGTGTCCTTTGCATTAGTTAATTGGAATCTTGTCAGTTCTTTTAAAAGTGCATCCATCCACACATGTGTTTCTCTTAAAAAAAAAGAAGAAGCAAAACTGGTAGCTTCAACTTTTTCATACACCAGATTTTATTTTAACACATTATTTCCCCATGTGCATTGGTTTGATTTGAAATATTGCATCGATAGACTATTGTTTCTTAATAGTGTGTGGATGTTGGCTAAAGTTGAGACAATTAAAACACATTATTATTATTATTATTATTATTATTATTATTATTATTATTATTATTATTTGAAGACTTTTTTGAGCCACAGATGAGTAGCTAATGAGCATTCCTAATGCCCTCAGAGTGATTAATTCTTATGTTGCAACGTCAGAACTGGCCAGGTTAGCAATTTTATGACACGCTAATAAAAAAAAAAATCTGACCATCTGACAAGATGTGCTGAGTGCTGTGTGGTATTTATTTTGTACCTTTTCAAGGTAAAATGACAGTTCTAAAAAATAATTGTTTTGTGTAAGATTTCTTTTTGCGAAATAATCTACACTTGACTTGATTTGACCCCTGGCTGAAAGCCAGTGTGTTCACAGGGTTCATTTTGAATGAAAGCAGAGGTGAGGGTGTGGCCTAGCCTGAGCTCTCTACTCAGTTAATGAGTTATTCAAGTGTGTTTATATGTGGGACTATTAACCCCAGTAGATAAGCAATGTAATATGTGTCAAATAAATCGAAAGAAATGTTGGTATTTGTTGTACTTTGATAGCTCAGCAATATATAAATATTTTCTGATATATAAGATTATATATAACCATGTGTCTTTTTTGTTAATTATTTGCATTGCTTCTCTGAATTGGATACCAACAAACTTGTTTCAGGTTCAGTACCTCAAGGTTTGGTGTGGATCAAAAGATGCAAGGGAAATAAATCTTTGTCTCTCAAACAGGCATATAGCACTGTGTATCTTGTGGGACGCGGGTGGCGCTGTGGGTAAAAGCCTCAGCGCCTAGGGCTTGCCGATCGAAAGGTCGGTGGTTCGAATCCCCGCGGCGGGGTGCGCTCCCGTCGCTCGGTCCCAGCGCCTGCCAACCTAGCAGTTCGAAAGCACACCCGGGTGCAAGTAGATAAATAGGGACCGCTTACTGGCGGGAAGGTAAACGGCGTTTCCGTGTGCTGCGCTGGCTCGCCAGATGCGGCTTTGTCACGCTGGCCACGTGACCCGGAAGTGTCTCCGGACAGCGCTGGCCCCCGGCCTCTTGAGTGAGATGGGCGCACAACCCCAGAGTCTGTCAAGACTGGCCCGTACGGGCAGGGGTACCTTTACCTTTTTATCTTTAATTTTGCAGTCACAACTATTGGAGATTTCCTAGTTGGAGATGGCTAGGATGATTCCAGCTTGCAATAAAACAAATCCTCTCTCTCATGCCATTTCTTGAAAAGACCGACACCATAATTCTTGTATCTCTTTAATTGTTTACAACTTGAAACTTCAAAAATCCCGCACATTCTCACAGTGGAGGAATTTGTCTGGCCTTGCCCTTTTACTGAAGTTACTCTTTATTATTGGCTGTTGAAGAAAAAGATTATTTCTTGACCATAATGTTCAGGGTTCAGTTTATGTTGAATTTATGATACCCGCCCGCCCCCGATTCAATAATAATAATAATAATAATAATAATAATAATAATAATAATTATCCCCTGCCCTCCCCGGTCAAAACCGGGCTCAGAGAGGCTAACATCAAATGTATAATACATTAATCATGCTTTAGCCGTTAAGTGATATTTCCCACCATTAAGACCTTTTTGTGGCGAGTGTAAGAACCGGTTGCGCTCAACAAATGCAGGCCCTCTCTACCTTTTGCTAAAAGCAACTGTTTTATAAATTCCATTAATTAGGGGATTAATGCTGTTAAGAACCGGCTAAAGCATCATCTGATCCTTAAAATGCTCTTGCAACACGATCCGATTAGCTGAAGCACTGGCAAATTAGCATTTAAGATTAGATGCCATGAT